AAAAAAGTTAAATTGTAACTACAAAGTAAAAATAAAATCAACATCTAGTAAGCACAGAGTTTCAAGGGTGAGAAAACTAGGTCTGTTGGAAAGAAATCAAATTTAACATCCTTTATTATTCTTTTTGAGTAGTAAAAATAATTTTTAAGCCCCTGTGAAGAAATACTCTTCATGTAAAAGGAATACATTAAAACAACATATTTTACCTGAATTATTCAGATGGGCTACTGACCCTGACTGAGTGGTGCTTAAGGATAAAGACTTTTACATTCTGAAATTTTGGGTTCATGTAAGCACTCAAAAGTTTCAGATAAAACTAATTAGATTTATCACGATGGAAAAAAGATACTCAAATGAAAACATTGTCTGGTTTGATTCACCCGTCAGTGCCAGGGAGAGACTTTCTTAGAGACAGATCTTTTATTTTGTTGGTTGCATAAATTTCTCCCAGACTTTCTCCACTTCTAGAAATCTCCTAACAAAGTGGAAGTTCCTCATCTTTTTTAATCCAGGGAAAATAAACAAATATGTTCCAAGATATTTTAGGGTTTGATTTTGATATTTGGAGTGGAGAGATGACTGCCTGCAAGTCATTACAATTTTTGAGAGACAGAAGAACCATGTGAGAAATCATAGATTCAGCAAAAATTAGAAGTATTAGTGTATGTTTTATTAAGTGTCAAATTAGCACTTTACATAATCATGGCATTAGATGTTTGAGATAAATCTTATACATTGACTAAACTTATTCCCTCTACAGATGAAGAAATGTGGAAATGAGATGAATCAGATATCCTGCAGTAGTATTACAGATAGTAGTGATGCCTTTTTACTTTTAATGCTCTAACATATGTTTAAATATTTTTTCAATTATTTTTAACAAAAATTTTACCAATATCATAATTTTACTTCATTTTTAAAATCATTTTTTTTATTCTTTAAAATATTTTACTTACTTATCTGAGAGAAAGAGAGAGCGCATGCTCAAGAGAGAACACAAGCAGTGGGAGGGAGGAGCAGCAGAGGGAGAGGGAGAAGCAGGCTTCCTGCTGAGCAGGGAGACCAACATGGGACTGGATCTCAGGATCCTGGGATCACGACCTGAGACCAAGGCAGACACTTAACCGACTGAGCTACCCAGGTGCCCCCAATATCAAAATTTTAATTTACGGGCTTATTTCAACCATTTACATACTTTTCAAGCCATGGAATATAAGAAACAAAACACATCAAGCCTCTAGGCTATTGTGTGGCAAAATAATATTAGGAGTAGGGGATGCCAATGTGTCAGCAGTGGTTTTGGTCAGTTAAAATGTTCAAGAAGCAGAATTAATTCTATTAAGCCACTAGGGTACTATATAATGCATGGTGCTAATTACTGAACTGAAAAAGATTATGCTATTTTCAGACAGGCCTAATAACTCTCTTAGGGCAGCAATTAAGAAAGTTTGAGTCTGTGCTTTAAGTCCTTTCCTGACTGAAATGAGATTCTGGTGGGAAAACCATTATTTAAAGGGCCACGAAAAGGTCAGTCATGGTCACGTATTATTGTTGAATACCTTAACATCAGCAGAATATCACGGATGCAGAAGTTGAACCAAGGTTCAGATTGCTGATGTAACCAGGCCGAATGGATAGCTATCAACTTACAAGTTGTTGAAGACACCGAAACACTGAAAATCTATCTAAAAATAGAAGTATTTCTAAATTATTTTTGAGAGAGTGCCAAATCATCTTTATTATCTGCCTCTTTCAAAACTTTTTTTTTTTTTTTTTTTTTAAGGAAGGTAAAATAGTCACTAATTGTCCATTTAAATCTAGGTGCCATAATGGTTTTGGTCTGATGATTGTCAAGTAAAATATCACTACTTTTATGCCAGGGCTGAATAAAAGGCCAAAACAAATATTAGTGCAGAAATTTTAGCCAAAGTTCACAGAAATGATAATTACTTTTTTTTTTCTTTCTCAGTGATTATTTTCAAAGGGTTTCTTTATATTTTTCATTTCAACAAATATCTATTATGTGTCTACTGTGTGTAAAGCACTGTAGGACACTGGGGTCAGGAAGACACAAATGATGCAGACTGCCTTTCAGAGTCTTGTTTTTAACCCACAAATATCTTTCAACCGAATTTATATCACTATATAATAAACGAATGGTTAGGATTGCTGCAATAGTTTTTTCATTTACAAATAAAGAAATCCGAAAGACTCAGCAATTGTAACAAACCCATTCATTTCCCTCCTTCCTGGGGCCATCGCCACAGTTAAGACAACCAGTTACTGGTTGTCTTACTCGGCTGCCTGGATTATTCGTGGTATCTTCCTAAAAGCTCACCTGCCATCAGGTGCAAACCCTACAATCTATTGTCAGCAGACAGTGTTGCAGAAGAGAGTAACCAGGAATCTTTCCGTATCAAAACTCTCCTCTGGTGGTTCCTTAATGCTCTCAGACTGGAACTGTCATTTCTCTGACACTTAGAACAGTGCCAGCTTATAGAGTAAAAACTCAATAGATAGGCATTGAATGGATAAATGCATTGATAAATGAATAAATGAATGAACGTTGCCTGAAATTAGCAAATTGGTGAACCAGATGTAAAATCTCTGTACCATGACTTTAGAGTAATTTTTTGTACAGAGTATAAGAATTAAGAAATTGAACATTATTAACATATTTCTTGGTTATTAAAATATGCAAAATATTGAAATATTTATATTTTACTTGTATTTATTGAATAAGGATGATTTTAACTAAGAAACTATCAAAGATTTGTTAATTTCTGGAGAAGACTAAAAGTTTAAAACAATCATTAATTTAATATTCCCACAACTTGAAATACTTTATATTATCTCCCAAGCCTAACCACAGGGAGAATTTCATGTACTGAATTGCATTTTTGCAGGTTTTTATGCCTATAACCTAAGTTTTTATTTTGGTGACAATAAAACATGACTTAAATTATCAGGCTATGTACCTGGTACAGTCAATGACCCAAAAGACAATATAGAAAGAAATAATCTCATTAGGAAATATTCTTGCTTTCCTTTCTTAAACAGATCATATATAGAAGATAATGCTATTTTTTTATTAGAAAATACTGTATCATTACCCCAAGTAGTTTTTCTTCCTTTTTTCTGCTCATGGAGCAGAAAAAATCATGAAAGCCCTGTCCAGTGATTCCTATCTTTTACATCTGCTGACATTAGAAGAGACTTATCTCTTGGTAACTCCCACAAAATGTCCATCTCTCACTCAATCCATATATTTTGAATTTTTACGGCAGAAAACGAAACAAAACAAACAGAAGAAAAAGTACAGTTTCCTGACACTGTCATGCCCTTGTACCACTTTGAATCAGTGTACATTCTCTTTCTCCAACACCCTCCTATAATTTTTCTCCTGCTCAACCACATGAAAAGCCCTGCTGAGACACCCCACCCCTGGAGAGCCCTCCTTAACATCCTTTCTCCCATACTGTCCTAATCATATGTGGAGAGCTGGCATATTTTACATGCTTCATTCTCTGTTTTGCTTATTTGCTTACTGACATGTTAGTCTCCTCCATTAGACTGGGGATTTTCAAAGAGTCTTTTTTGTTTTGGGGGGAGCTTGTTTTTGTTTTTACTTTTGTTTTTGTTTTTAAGTGCTACAGCAGGAAGGGAGTAAGCTCCCAGCAGAGTGAAATCTGGAGCTAGGTTTTGGTGAAATTGTTAACAGAATGCATTGCTAAAAATCTCCCAGGCCCCAAATTTGCCTTGCATTTTGATACATGACCCATGCACTTCAATAATGATATGACTTCCATGAGAATATAGTCAACTCATTTTGCTCTCATCCCTCTCATAGTAGACAGCAGTGGTAGGAACACGGTGACTAATCGAGTATTCAAAAGGAGCACTTTAGTTCTATTTGGGGATGAATGCCACATGCAATCTTCATCAGAGAGCTTTAAAGGCACCATCTTGGAATGAATGGAAGCCTGCAATTCCACAGAATGAGAGCAGCAGGCGGAGACACACCCTGAGCACAGGTGGAGACATACCCTGACATCAATGAAAAGACTAGATGTCCATTTGTCTTCTTATCAGCTTTGCTACCTGAAGGTACCCCCACAAACCCACAGTACTCTTATAAACAGTGTACATGGGAATATCAGTGAAGGTCACCAAACAAAGTCACCTAGTTTTGAGAAAAAAAAATAACTTTGGGTTATTCTTTAACATTCTATGAGATGGTTTCTTGAATTTAACTTGTAATTAACAGGATCCATTCACATATCCGAAAATAGAGAATTCAACGCTTTCAATCCTTACCTAGGACCAGTCTCATAGCCAGACACAAATTTAAAGCCAAAAATCCATATCTGTTTTTTCTTTTCATTAGGTGCAGAAAACAACCACAAAATCTCTGTCTGAAGTATAAACTGGGAGAGCAACTAAAATAACACTGTCCTGGCTGGTTCATACACATCTGCTTAATAATACACAAATAAACAAACGAAATCACTATGTATCTGAAATGCTTTGCAACTTTTGCTCTTATCTTTCATAAGTCTAGTTTCATAAAGAATGTGATCATCTCATTCCACACACGCTATGATCCTCTCTTATCTCCGCTGTCAATAAGGTGACCAACAGAAGGAAGAAAACCTTCCTATCAACAGCAGAAGCATTTAATATTTAGAGGTAAATATATGTAGGTAGGTGTATGAATAATAAAATATGTTGAATAAACAAGTGAAGTCCAGACCCGTGGAGAATAAAAGATGAGTCTGGTCATGTTCATATCAGAACAGTGCACTGCATTTAGAATTCAAAGATTCCTTGTTTGATTTCATAAAGCACTTATTGCTTTTTGTTCCTAAAACAAATTAAGATTTTCATCTTCTTCCTAGAGTGTCCCAGAGAACACACTACTTGCCAGCAGTTAGATACAGATAAAGATACAGATATATAGATCCAGATGTAGATGGACATATTAGTAGATAGAGAGATACCTTAATTGTAGTCGTGTGTGCTCCAGGGTATTCTTTTTCTTCCAGTGTTGACCATCTTTCTATAAATTTGGATACCAGGGAATCATCATAGTCCACTATTTGAAATCCAGAGACGTTTGCACCTCCAAACTGAATTTTTAATAGGTCTCCATCAGTAAATCCCTAGACATAGAGCACATATGTCAGGCTTTCCATTAAGACTCAAAGAGAACTTAACATTTACCCAATAATTCCATACATTGCGGTTTTACAAATGTCAAAGAACACATGAGATATAAAAAAGCCTGGAGGAAATGTTTCGTGTATTTAGCAACCAATACTCTGCACTAGTACCTACTGTCATCTCGGCATCACAGCGGATCCTTAATCAATGATTGTTTATTGGTTGTACTCACATAAAAGCTCTCCATTTTACTGAGAAATCTTCCGTGGGTAAGTACTGGTTTTATTTATTCAATCTACAACAGAGCACTACCACATAGTTATAAGTACTTAAGAACATAAAGCTAGTTCCCCAAGAGATATAACATAGTAAGCAAGTTATTCCTATTTTAATTGTTCATTCTCATAGGTGATAAAACATCTTTAAAATGAGAACGGAAGGTACTAAATGCCTAGTCATCATTTGCAAACACTCAAACAATATCATATTAAGTACAGAGCTTAACTTTTTATAAAATATATGAAAGTTTAAAAATCAATCTCTTGCATTATTAGAATGAATTCAGTCATTAGTAAAACTATCATGTAGTGCTGCCATTAATTTCAAATATTGCACTGTCATAAATTCTATCTCAATTTGAGAGGACATTATCCCAAGGATGAAGTCACAATTTTAATAAACCACAATTATAAGTATTTTTTACCTTATACATTTACTTCTCATTATTCTGCATAAGGATTGAAAATATCCCTGAATCTCAAATACGGGAGAATCTTTTCTTTGTTATTGATATTAAAAAACATATTTTAGTACTATTTGTGTAAAGAAGGATAATTACTTCATTATTGGGTCAAATTTTGGTTTTTCTTTTTATTGAAATAATGTAAATAGTGCCAGAATATATATAACAAAAATCACAGATTTTCTACTCTGTCCCGTCCATGCTCCAGTTAAGCTGCTTCAAAACAAGCAATTTCAGTAATTTTTGTTTTTCATATATTTACCGCCATATTTCTGCACACATCTTCTCTATTTTTTCTTAATTTATCAATTTTAGATATCTTCATTGAGTTTCTGCTTATGTGTGATGTGTATATAATTCATCCAGATTTACCTGCTTACCCATTTTCATGTTCACAGTTATCATATTTATAATTCTGTTATTCAGAGCAGTCAAATAATGTGGTATGACTGTATTTTCCTTTTTTTTTTTTCTTAAGAGAGAGAGAGCACTAGTAAGAGGGGAAAGGCAAAGAGGGAGGGAGAGAGAGAGAATCTTAGGTAGGATCCATGCTCAGCACAGAGATGGGGCTCAGTCTCACAACCCTGAGATCATGACCTGAGTGGACATCAAGAGTTGGGAGCTTAACTGACTGAGCCACCCAGGTGTCCCTGCATTTTCCTTCTTGAATAGTATCTCACTCTAATGTTAATAATTGCTTCATTTTTTTCACTACTATAGTTTTCTGTGTACCTATTCTTATTTTTCTGTAGTTGCTCCATGAGAACTTTTCATGTTTATATGAGTAAATCTTTTTTAAAGTAATATCAAACATATCAAGTAATCTATTACTCTTTTTTCTGAATATTTAATTTACAGGAGACCTTCTGAATGCCGCAATTTGAATTGATGCCTCTTTCCATCTCTTCTGCAACTGTTACTCTGGAGTGTCCCTTCACCATGTTGCTGACTTTTTCTCTCACTTCCTGGCTCACTGATCTCTCATGTTTTACTCCCTTCTTCTTCCAGAGTGCTCAGTAGTTTCTCAGACACATTGGAGGTAAATTTTTTGAGACACTGAATGTCTCAAGATATCTTCATTTTGCACTGACACTTGATTACTCTCATAACCCGAAGACATCGTTCCACTGACTTTTATTGTTCCTATTGAAAAATACAATGTCATTATTTCTAATTATTTTTTGCATGTGACCTGCTTCATATTTCTGTCTGCCTTCTCCTCCCACCTGTCCGAAACTTTTAAGATCTTCTATTGATCTCTGAAATTTCATGATGACATTTTCTTTGAAACATAAAAGGAGTCTCTTTTCTTTCATTGTTTTGTGTAGTCAACGGGCATATTTGTGTCATCGAGTACTGGGAATTTTTCTGAATGTTCTTTGATAATTTCTTTCCCCTGCCTTCACTGTCTGTCTTTCTAGAATGCCTATTATTATGACATTGTAACTTTTAGATTGAACATCTAAGTTTTTCACAGGTTCCCTGTACACACCACCTCATATTGTATTGTTGTTTTGTTACATCATCTGGAAGATTTTTCTTAAACTTATCATCACAGTCATATAATTTTACTTGTAGTAGAAGAAAAGTTAACTTTCCATAATTCTTTCTTATTCTCTGAGTTTTTCCTCTTTTTCTAACATACTTTCTCTCTTCTTTATGGATAGTTAATTTTCTCCTATTACTCTGCAGATACTCTTTACAATTTTAAACATTTTTCTTGTGTTTTCTGCCTGCCCTGTTTCTGTTTATTTATTCATTCATTTATTTGTTTTGTATTACATCCTTCATGGCCCAGACTTTTCTCAAATGCCTGATTCTCTTTGGCTATTTAACACTCAGACACTAAAAGATTTCTTGGAATTTCCATGTGCCTGGGGGAGGCTACCTGATGAAGTACTTCACTGTATGGTAGTCAGGTGGGGGTGGATTGCAGTACTTTCTGTCCATATCCAGGTTGAAGAAATGAGAACTGCCTCCCTTTATGACCACTTCTTCATCACTTTATGTACAAACTATCCTTTTAAATGCTGCATCAGGAACTTAATCACAATCTGTGTTTTGGGAGCCTAATCAACCATTACCTGTTCCTGAGGAAATTCATCAATAGCTGTATCTGAGGACTTTTCTTTTATCACCACCTCATTTAACACTCATTAGACCCTAGACAGAGAAAGGGAGATATCTCCAATCGAGAGTTTGGAAGATGAAAGCTCTTCAACTCTGAATGGCATTCTTCAATTTTAAATGTCAGTGAAAATTTCAAGTGCTCTCTAAATTCTCAGAAACTGCAACACTCCTCAGATACTTTGAACTTACTGACTCACTGGAAGTTCCATATGGTGAAGATGCCAAGTATTCAGAAATGGAAAAGCAGAATTTGAATTCAGATAAAATACAAGCCATGTTCCTCCCTAGAAGATGACAGCAACAGGCACACGTTTTCTATTTTCTAATTTTCCCCCCCCACTTTGGTCATCTGTACATTTCTTTCCATTTCATAGCATCAGATATCAACTCTCAAATTGATGAGCCACCTTCTGTCATTATTTCTCAATGTTCCAATATAATCTTCTCCATCTGGACATTTTTAAAGATCACGGCTTTCAATGTGGCTCTGTGTTGTTCATCAAATGGCACAATTCACACAGGGGACTGACTGTCCAGGCTGTTCCCTGCACAGAATGTGGTTCTGAAGAGAGTGAATACAGAGCTTCATTTATTTTAACCCCTGCTTCTCTGGTAGGGAGTCACTTAGGATCTGTAATATCATATCAATAGATAAATTCTAATGAATTTTATAATAGCCATTTCACTGGCAAACAGAAGTTTTATCTGAACAACCAACTTCTACTAACAACATGCAGATTTGAGATTTAATATTCTAAATCACTGGTGCCACCTTCTAGTGAAAACAGCATTTATTAGTTATAAAGTTTTTTCCCCCCATCATTACTAGAAATAATGTCTTCTGATAGAACAATATAATATTCCAGAAACTACCTACAGAAACAAATCTACAGGGGTGCCTGGGCTCAGTGGGTTGAGCGGCCAACTCTTGGTTTGGCTCAGGTCATGATCTCAGGGTCATGACATCAAGCCCCGAGTAAGGCTCCATGCTGCTGAGCATAGAGCCAGCTTGGGATTCTTTCTCTCCTTCTCCCTCTGCCCTTACCCTCCATCCCTCTTTCTAAGAAAAAAAGAAAGGAAAGAAAGAAAGAAAGAAAGAAAGAAAGAAAGAAAGAAAGAAAGAAAGAAAGAAGGAAAGAGAGAGAAAAAGAAAGAAAGAAAGAGAGAAAGAGAGAAAGAAAGTAAGTCTACATTTGGGTAAATATGAGACCTTTCCAAAGTCTTATTATGCTATTTAGAATAAGCTCTCATTTTCTCCCTCTTTTTCTATCTTCCTGAGATTGGGGAGGGCAGTTTTCTCAGTCAAGTAAGATCATACTTCATCAAAGAACGTAAAACTTTGCAACAGTAAAGGCTTAAGGTCATTTTACTACTGATCTGAAAACTATTTTGAAAAAAATGTCTAACAATAATTCTAACTTGGCTCTGATTATACTTAAGAGAAGGAGATATAGTCAAACACTTAGATGTTCAGTATAATCATAATTTGACAGAAAGCCCAATGAAAAAGTGATCAGCTATAGGGATTTAATGTCATTGTACTGCTTTCATAGTAAATAGAAAATCAGAAATAAATAAAAATTCTTGACATTTGCAGGTTTAATTTTTCTCTAAGATGTATTTTCACAAATGTGTATTTATCTCAAATACTATGTTTACTGAAAACTTTAAAGGAATGCACAAAGGGAAAAATTATAAAACATTGTGATAGTGAGAAACAAGAGGAAATTTGAACAATTGAACTTTAGATATTTTTGAAAACTTTTCCATAATTCAATATGCCTTCTAAGACAATTTATAAAGTCTGTCAAATATTTCTTACATCACTTTTAATAGGAGATTGATTAGAGTATATAAAGTGGGAAGTCAGTCTAAAACACAAACTGAGAAAAACATTGTTACTTCTAATTGATCAATATAATCAAGATATGTTTTTAAAAGTAACACTGATAAAAGCTGGTCATTCAAAACTATTTTCTAAGTATCTCTATTAAAATTAAAAATATCAATTAATTCACCTACCAGATTTGCAATGATATAATGGTAACCTTTAACATGTTTTCCAATGGTAATAACCTAACAAAGATAAAGAAATAATTATTTAATACATGCAAATAATATAAATTATAATTATTGATGTTATGACCTGAGGAAAAAAGTGGAATTTTATTTACTATGTTTTCTGATATTCTGTGATGGATCCTATTTGACAAAATATAATTCTCAAATACAGAGAATATTTCTCTCAGAAAAAAGTAACAATACATTTCAGTGCTTTATAAATGCTATCTTTCAAGAAGTCAATAAGTAAACAAATAATTATTTCAGTTTTGTCTTCGGTGAAAATAAAGTCACAAGATTTTAAGAAATGTAAAATGAAAAGAATATTGAATCCATAAGTCATAATTTTATTTTTACAAAAGCTATTTTTCTAAAACATTAGGCAGCTGAAATCAACACCTGAGATTTTATACTCACACACTGACACTCAAATTTATAGTAGAACATTAATTTAAAAATTATGAATAAGCACATAAAAGAATTTTTATATGAATTTATAAAATAATATTCCCATCTTAAGAGTCTTGAGATACTTGCAATTTAGTTCAAATGAACATGATTATTTCCAGCTTGAGGCAGCAAAGCATCAGAGAAACTACTCTTTCTCCACAAATCTAAGTCAAAACTCAATGGCGAGATAAACGTATGATGGAACACGACGTTGAGCTCTTATTGGTAATGCTCATTACAGTTTGGGACATTACAGAATCAGTGTGACTTGTCACTGATCTATAGCAATTCAAGAGAGTAAGACATTGGTGAAATGGACATGCTGTAGTCCTAGTACTTAGATATTCAAATGTAGCTCTTATTTTTAAGAAAATTTCACACTAAAAGAAAGCAGGAAATGCCAGGGCTGCAGAGAAACATTCAAACCATTAGCTCATTTCCCTGATGACACAGTTTTGGTGACTTCCCATTGCTTCTAGCATAATAAGCAAAATCCTTAATTTATGCTGCAAAGTTCAGTAATCTTGCAAGCTTTTCCAGGCCCTCTTTTTCCACTCTCATTGGCCCTCCTTTTAAGTATTTTTGTATACGAAAAGGCTTCTTTCCATCACCTCAGGACTTCACATATTCTGCTTCCTTGCTTGGAAAGCAGTCTCAACCACCATATCATTTGTCTTATCAATGCTTCAGGCACAAGGAATCTGAGCCCAATGTTACCTCCTGGGAAAGGATTTCCTTGACCTTCTCTTATCCCAGACAAAGTCAGGTACTCTGAAGCAATGCATTTAGTTAAAGAACCAGGGAAAATCTTAGGAAAGATTCCACCAAATGCCCCTTTGATGCTAAGTGATAGCTATTTGGAAGAGAGTTAGGGCTTGTATCATTTTCTAACCTATTTTTATGTTATACAGCTAAATCACTTTTTCCAAGAAAATGAACCCTCTGTATTGAAAGGAAAATTGCAAAGAAAAGATGTCCTTCTGCATGAAAAATATATTAATTAGCATCACTTGAATTTAATTGATTTTGTCCTTCATACTTCCTACTGACATCTGCTGGTTCTGTTTATTGTTCACTCTACTTTCAGAATCATGCATGCCTTCCTTCTGGGAATTAAAAACAAACAAACAAGCAAACAACAACAACACAAATCTTATAAATGGTGCTACCAGTAGTTGAGTAGAGCGTTCACTGAAATGGGGGGGGGTATGAAAATTCACTAGCTCTGCCTCTACATAGGAATTCATGTTGACCATGCCATCATATTTTTGTTTATAATAGTAATTAACACTGCACTAACAATAGTAAACTTATATTGATTTCTAAATGTTTCTAATGGCTGAGTCCCTTTTCCACCCAATCAAAATCAGAAATATGTAACTCTAAGGTTTTAATGGATGATAAAATTTTCATAATCAAGAAAGATTGGTTCTCTTTCTAACTTTAAGCTATTATAACAGTAAAATTTCATCACCTCTGTTCTCTTATAAGTATTTATAGAGTGAATAAGTAAATACTGTTTCTTTTTCTTTAAATGTAGTTCAATCCCACTTTTTGCTTGGGTCACTCTATTCCTTGAAGGTCTTCCATGATCTCCTAATCTAAATTTTTTGGTAATTTTTTTCATAACATCCTGTTCTCTTCATTCATATATACCACCATATAGTTGCATATTAATTTCTGTAAATATATCATAAATATTTACCTTAATGGGGTTGCCTGTTTTATTTAACATTACTTTCTTGGATCTACCACAGTGATTGTCTGGCAATATTAGACACCCAAGGAAATTTACTGAATGAGTAAATGAATGAAAACAAGCCAGACAAATGCTGCCAGTGTGTGAACCCTCCATAGATCCTCCTTTCCCTGTTAAAGATAGGTTCTTCCTCCTCCTCTTAGACCACATTGCTTTCTAACTTGTAGAACTACAGTGTGACATGTAAAATTTGCCTTCCTCTCTAAACCATGGGTTAATGGAGTACAGCTATTACTATTCCCTGTCTTTGCACATTTCATTCTAGACACAGAGGATGTCTGCAGTTAATGTTTGCTGAATGATGCAACCAACCACTGTACACACTCATTTAATAATTCAAGAGTGTCTTATGAAAATACAATAAACATGAGCAAAGTCTCTGTACCTTTTGAATGGATGTCCATATGAACATTTAATCATCATATATTTGTTTCAACATGTTACATTCCATATATTCCCAAATTCTCCTATAGTTTCTGTCTTCTAGTTTTGGAAATAATTATTTTCATGTAGACTTTCACCAACATTAATTATGATGATCCATGAATACATAAATTCTTTAAAAAAAAGACTAATGACTATTATTAAAATTCAGTTTTAATGAGAATCTCCTATGAAATTCAAATGAGTTGCTGAGGATCACATTTGAACAAGAGACCTTCAGGTTAAAACAGCCCTAACTTCATCTCCTGAGACAAGAATTAAGACTTTTTCACTGAAATGTTCACCTCTCTGGCATAAAACATTTAGCTCTTTCTCATAACAAGTTAGTTTATCCAGTTATTTAATATTTTATGTGAGATTCATTTTGTATGTCTTAGGGCCTGTATTATTACATATCAATTAAAGCTACATCAACATTTATGTTTCCAAAATGCTTTGTGTTATACAAATGGTGAATTAATTTTTTACTCAAAACCTAGAAGGGCCAAGAAATGCATACTTAACTGCACATTTTTCTTCCAATCCTATATTATTCCAAGGAACTAGCAGCCACTACACACACACACACACACACACACACACACACACACACACACACATTTATCAGTTGGGAAAAGAAGCAGATACCCAGTGAAACAGATCTTAACTTAGTAAATCATGATGCTGCTTCACCAACATCCCTGGTCATTTACCCTACATTTAATATAGTGGATCTTATTTTTATCATTAGGATATTACTGAATAGCTGTCCTATCCTAAGAGACCTTAAATGGAATCAAAGTGGTATGGTAAGCACAGATAAAACATCCTTATGTCCAATAAACTTCTCAAACAGCAAACACAGACTGAATATGTCTCTCCTACATATTTTAATTTCATAGATTAATAGTTTTATAGTGACACAAAGCCCACCTCGCAGGAGGAAACAAAAATCTTGGAAAAATAAATACAGGCTTTCTCTGAACACAGATGCGTTCAGACAACATAGGCTCAATGTTCCATACTGTGCTCTAATATTTGATGTTCTCCATGTTTTGCCATACACTACTCACTTCTCTCTTAGAACCCCAGCCTTATTTTCACTTAATTAGTGGCCATTTCTTTACCTCTAAAATGTTCAACAATTTTAAATTTCCAACTAAAAATATCAAACTTTAGGGCAATGCTTATCATATAGAACATAAGACTCAGTAGCTACATATTGAATATAGTTAATGATTAGTATGGTGTGTCAGCATGATTGAAGACCATCTGATATTGCTAACTGAAACCAGAGGTAATTTAACTGATGACCTTTGCTTCATCCTACATAAACCATAAAGGAAAAACTGCTGTTCAGCACCCACACGAATACTGGCTGCAAATGCTGACACCACACGCACATTCTATATTTGGTGCCATTAGAAAACAGAGTAGCCAACCTGGTCTACGATGTCGTTTACTTTATCCCGTTCACAGTCCAGGATTACACGCCGTTCCTTTTTTAACTCCAGATCTTGAAAAAGTGATCGGTATGTCTCATCTTTCTTGTCATTGTTAATGTTTCCCACGTTGATAGCAGTCACTTGCCATTTCTTTTCCGCAGCAGAATCCAGTACAGCTTGCAGTGTTGATAAGCCTAGGAAGGCAAAGAAAAATGATGACCGTAAAAGATACTTGGATAACTCAGAATTACATTGTGAAATTGACAGCAAATATATTTTTAAGTATGATATTTTTGTGCAACTGAGGGGATGTTGACTCCTCTAAAAAGCTACAGTGAGGATCTCTATCGACATTGAATTATTTCCGCTTCACATCAAAAACTCTTTTATCTATATGCTATTGTTCTGATGGAAAGAACCATATTTCGGGGGGATAGTCTCCCCTTCTTTCAGCTCTTTCAGCTGTTTCTTTCAGATATTACCAAAGAGTAATGTCTGTGATACCTTTGGTTAATGTGAGATCCAAAGACATGACACACATTTCTTTCTCTTACAGAATGGGAAAGACTGTTTCTTTACATATGACAACCTATCATTTCATATTAACATCCTCAAGAGGATGTTAAATGAAAATGTTGCAAACATTTTCAGGGAGACAAATCTACATGAGTCTCTGTGAGCATACGAGCCAATGATCTCAATGAGGCTGTTATATTTCCTCCTCTTGTCTTCCAGTCAGCCGTTGTTTTCCTCAGCCTTCTGTCACATCATGTTTTTGTTATTGGGACTGATCCCATAGAGATTAAAATGTTCACCTATTAACCAGATGGTAGCAGTTAGTTTTCTAGCTCAGATTTGTTACATTTACTTAACTTTTCAAATGTAAGACCTGTTTACTATTTATCAGTAACTTTGCTTATAACATCATATGACTTAGAAAATTTCTTTGTATTTTTAATAAAAATATATTACTTCATACATAGGACTGAGAAGGAAAATAATTGGGGAATTATTCCCTAAAGTTAAATCTTCACTAGGAAAAGCAGTACATAAACTTGGAAAAGCACTAGGAAAAGCAGTACATAAACTTGTCTTCCACATCACTTCTTGTCTTCACAGCCAACCTAAATTCATCATTTCTATTAATAGCTTAATGAACAACACAAAATCTGGGCTCCAAAAAGAATGCAGGACTCATCACATCATCTTTCTGATTCCAGAAAGTCCTACATCTTTCTCAGAAGAATGCTGATTTCTTTTTAGCCATAAAATGTGGGATTTTCCTAATATGATCACACTATTCTATAAATTTTATTCACGTACTACACTTTATTTTCAACCTACTTACTATGGCAAAAATATGTGCATTGTAAAAAAAAAAAAAAACCTATTGAACCTGGAAACAGCATTAAAAATTGTATTGATTCAATACTGACCAAGAGTATATAAGATTAGCTTAGAACATCTTGTGATACAAAATGCAGGGAAGCTCTCCAAAACTATCAGAGTTGTGTCAAAAGACTCAGGAGTCAATGTGATGAAGAGCAAGTAAATTTGAGGCAATTTAGATATCAATAGGAAAAATAACTGCAAAAGACTTAAATATATAACATATTTTAAACCCATGAATTATTATGAATACCTAAAATTATAAACTACCAAAACTGAAACAGCAAGAAATAGAAAACTTGAACAGACTGATAGCCAGCAAAGAAACTGAATCAGTGATATTTAAATACATATAAATATCTGGTTGCCTTTGAAGAATACTAGGAGCTGAGTTATTATTTTGAAATTGGTAAATAAAGGAAAAGAAACAAGCATTTTCCTACCCCTCCTTTATGACCTATACTCAGGGTAATAATTAGTTAAGACAGCTTTTCCTTTTTTGGAAAACCTCATTTGTCCAGCTGACAAATGACAAATGATGAAGGAATATAGATTCAGAATTACAACCATCTTTTAACACATAGTGAATTAATAAATCATTAACTGCTGCTAAAATGCAAAAGTTACCTGTCTCTAAATAGGAATATTTAACATCATCTATGGAGTATTCCTGCCAAAAAATGAACATGAATCTTGCCAGACTTCTAGCTCTAGCTACCGATTTATAAGGAATATGTGGCAGAGTAATATGCTAAATATCAGAGTGTTGCAATCATCAAATTGAAACTCTACATATGTTATTAAAGACTTAAGAAATATATCAACCAATTGGGGGATAAATACCTCATTTTTATCTTGATTCAAATAAACTGTGGGGAAAAATAGATGATGATATTAATGAATTACTGTAAACCTGCCTGCATATGATAATGACATTGTGGTTATTTCAAAATACAAACTGAAATATGTACAGATGAAATTACATGATGGCAGGTATTTGTTTCAAAACAATTGTGAAGGACAGGGATATAGATAATAATACAAGAATTCCTTGTACATTTGTCATTAACAAAGCTGAGTTAATGGGGCATCTGGGTGGCTCAGTGGGTTAAAGCCTCTGCCTTCGGGTCAGGTCATGATCCCAGGGTCCTGGGATTGAGCCCCACATCAGGCTCTCTGCTCAGCAGGGAGCCTGCTTCCTCCTCTCTCTCTCTCTCTCTCTCTCTCTCTCTGCCTGCCTCTCTGCCTACTTGTGACCTCTATCTGTCAAATAAAAAAATAAATTCTTTAAAAAAAACAAAGCTGAGTTAAGAGTCCTTGGGGATCTTCATACTATTCTATTTTTTATTTAAAACATTTCATTGTGAAAATTGAAAATAATTTATTTTTATTTCAAATTGGGAAGTTGAGCCATAAACTGAACTTAAAGGGAATTTGTGTGCTTTTTTTTTTTGACAAAACAACAATAATTGTTTCTTCTGTCCAGTCATGTACCAAAAACAGGAAACACAGGAATTTCTCAAAGAATAACTTAAACAAGAGACCGCTTTCCATTGTAAAAAAAAAAAAAAAATCTATTAATGATAAAATTTCTTTTAAAAACTTCATGGATCACCTGTGATTTCCATCCACTACTTATAAATAAATCATTCTATGGTATAATTCAAACCCTCTTCCTGTTTTTCATCATCAGTGAAGATAGAACATACAGCTGGCCATCATGATCAATTCAAGAGCTCTCAAAGTGCTTGAAAACAGTTATTAAATCTATCCAGTCTTCTTTCCCGAGTAGGAAAAATAGCTAATTTTCTAAACCTCTTTCACTATCTAGGTCCTACTTTTTCACAAATTTTAATCTTTATGCAACTAATAATTCCTTGTTACCTCCTTAAAAACATTATATCTATGAATGATCTTCCATATGCTATCCACGTCTTATCATATAACACTGCAATTCCTTTATTCTAAGCAGAAATTATTTTTTGTTTTTATTTAATTATGAAGTTGACCACATATTAAAATTTCAAGTGGTGATGTTCTTGATATTCTATCACATCTTTCAATATATATTACAAGAAATTTTAGATACAAATAATGATTTGTAAATCAGTTTAATCAAGTGATATTTCTATACCTAACATTGGCAGTTCATCCTGTTAAAAAAAAGGAAGATGATATAATGTAATATATATGAAGATGATATAATGTAATATATTAATAAGAAGGCATTTAAAAAAATAGTTGAATTTTCAACGAATTCATTCTATGTGTCAAAAGTAACTCACAGTTGGTGTGGATTTTCTCTTGTTCAAACTCTCAGAATTAATGTTTTGTAACCTATGAAGCCTAAAAACATTACATCCACTAAGAAGCTAAATAGCTCAAGTGGTGCAATATCAGATTTGATTAATTTAGTGTCATCAGAAGACAATGAATAATATTAAATCATCAAGGAACAGCCAGAAGTAACTCACAGTCCATTAAAAGTCTGACTCATGATTTAAAGAGATTGCTGTCCCATGCTTAGTAATCCATATTCTTAGACTTGTTTTTTCAGTAATAGTAACAGACCTCTTAGGCTCCTAACTTGATCTGTGTCTTCCTCACAACTAAGACTTTTGTGTTAATTCTGGTTAGTTTAAAATTAACAGATCATTTTAAAAATCACTGAAAATACATGTTACAACTATTGAGGTGAAATTAACCTCTTCAAACCTAACACGAATTCATTTCTTGGTCTCTTAGTACCACATTCTAATTAGGGGAAACAATATTACCTGAGACAATTACTCTTTCCTTTCCACACAAACTAGCATAAAATTATCTTCATAAATACCTCCATCTCTTAACCAGACTATAAACTTGCATGAACAGTGGGACTTCTTTAAAAATACTAGTTTACTTCAAGTTATTAGTAAGTAGTAATTGTTCTACTCTAGTATCCATACTGTATCAGGATATTTGAATTATATTAATATTAATATATTAGTTGAGTTGGCCGCTCAACCCACTGAGCCCAGGCACCCCTGTAGATTTGTTTCTGTAGGTAGTTTCTGGAATATTATATTGTTCTATCAGAAGACATTATTTCTAGTAATGATGGGGGGAAAAAACTTTATAACTAATAAATGCTGTTTTCACTAGAAGGTGGCACCAGTGATTTAGAATTAATATTGGTTAAGGGTCTGCCTTCAGTTCAGGTCATAATGCCCCAGTCCTGGGATTAAGACACACATCAGGTTCCCTGCTCAGCAGGGAGCCTATTTCTCCTCTGTCCTTCTGTCCCTTCCCATGGCTTGTGTGCTTTCTCTCTCTCTCTCTCTCAAATGGATAATAAATAAAATATCTTTTAAAAAGCCATTATATTTTATTTTACACTCAGAAAATATTATTAAAAATTGAAAAAAAAAAAAAACCCTGTATACCAACAGATTGGACAACCTAGAAAAAAATGGATAAATTCTTAGAAACGTATAAACTACCAAAACTTAAATAGGAAGAAATAGAAAATTTGAACAGACCAATAACCAGCAAAGAAACTGAGTCAGTAATCAAGTAACTCCCAACACACCAAAGTCCAGGACCACATAACTCTTCACCTAGATTTCACAGGTGAAATCTACCAAATATTTAAAGAATAGTTAATATGTAGTCTTATGAAACTATTCAAAAAATAGAAAAAGAAGGAAAACTTCCAAATTCATTTTATGAGGCCAGAATTACCCTGATACCCAAACCAGATAAAGACACGACTAAAAAAGAGAACTACAGGACAATATTCCTGATGAATATTCTCAAAAATACT